GAGCAACACTATAGGACTCGTTGAGTTCCACGAGAAATTGCAACATTATATGAGCCCAATCATCCCACAATTTTTTAAGCCTAGTGTAGTAAGTTGCGACATTCATCTGATCTTGAGCAAGATAAGCGACGTCCCTCTCGATCTGAAAAACACGCAAAAAAAAAAAAAAAAAATTTAAGAAAAACTATTCCTAAGGTCTTCCCCATACCTCCTAGGCAGCGGTTGAAAAAATAACATTGTCTGCAATATTAGTTTTTAGGGAATTGAAAGTCCTAGATAGAAGCATATCGTTGCATCTTTTCCATGATGCATAGTTTTCTCAATTGATTGTGACAAGCAGTTCTGCTTTGTAAATTGAGGCATATTTCGCAACTCTTCAATTAGGTGGGTTTTAAAGTTCTTCAAATTTTATTCTCTATAAAATAATTATTTTCAATCCACACATTTTGTTCAAAACAACTTAGTAAATAAAAATACAAGAACCAAAAAATTTATTTATGAGCAAAAAATTACTTTATAATTTAATTTACTTATAACGTTATTATAAGATAAAGATTCAATTTTGTATAAAAAATTGCTTAAATTTTAACTTATATATAAAAGTACACTTCTAATATCACTTGTAAATGCAAAATTTTATATATGAAATTATAAATTGAGCCACAATTTGATAGTCATTATAAAGAGAAATTTGGGAAAAATTATATTTTAAACAGTGCACGTTTTGAAGAATGTGAGTTTAAAAAGTAGAAAAAAACTTAAGTTTATGTGCAAAATATTTTATTGTGTGAATGTGTGATTGAAAATGAGTATGAGAAATATAGAATTTTAAAATAAAGAGAATGAATTAGGGGCTTGAAGTTTCGCTAAGAGACATAAGTAATTTTTTTTCTTTTAAAAAGGTTCAAGAAACTCTATATAATATACTCTCAAATATGGGTTTGACTATTTTAAAAATTGCTACAAACTATCCACAATCGGACATCTCATAAACGCCCAAATACGTTACTTTTTAAAAACCCAAAAATCTCAAGCAAGCTTTAAGTGTTCTAGTTAAATCTCAGACTAATGTATATAGTCTTTTCATTTTAAAAATTATCTGGTTTGAAAAATGAATAGGTTCTATATGGTTTGAAAATAGTTCAAAAATTGTCTAATTCGAACCATTTTGCCTTTATTTTTTATTCATACATTTCGCAGGATCACAACTACTATCAACTTATTATACACGTATTCTGTAGGACCATGTTTTATAATTATTTAAATTTTAATTTAATCCGTTCTCGAACATTATTAGTAAAAGACACATCATTAGGACAAAATTAGGATCCTCACTATTCGTTTTGCATGTTGAACGTGACAATTCTTTCCAAAATTATATATAATATAAATGTTAAAATCTTTATCTTTTAGCATTGCATACAATATTTAGCAGTCATCATCCTATTGTCCCATCTTATCACGTGAATATTTTTTTGCATATTATTCAAGTGAATTAAGGAGCCATTTTCGACTTTTTAGTTTTCTCACGGTGTCCATAACTTTCATTTTGACTTCAATTATTGACTTTTTTGGTATGGTTAAGGACCTTTAGAGCTTGTTTGAGAGAAATTTTTGGGAGAAGAATTGATTTTTGAATAGTGATATGATGAAAAATGTATGGTTGAAAAAGAAGAAAAAAGTATTGATGTGATGGAAAATATTATTTTATTGAAAAATGTGTGGTTGAAAATGAGAATTGATTTANAAAATATTATTTTATTGAAAAATGTGTGGTTGAAAATGATAATTGATTTACTGTAGAAAAATTCAATCCCTACCAAATAGGGTCTTAGTCTTGTTTTGATTTTGATCCAAATGCTATTATTTTACTAAATATTGTAACATTGTATATCAAAACTTATATAATAAATATAATTAACTTTTTCATCCAATATTTTCCCTCCACATCATTCTCTGTAACTGTTTATGTACATTTTTTATGTACAAATAGCAAAATCCATAGAATGGACTGTGAGCTCGCATCCTATGCTACGGGAGTCGAGGAGTCCGTTGAATAATTGCATTGCATTCCTATTACATATGATAATACTTATACGTAATATATTATTTTTCTCGCCAATTAAAATAATATGAAAAAGATATTATATAATAACAACTAAAAACTATATTAACTGATACCAATGTTAGCAGCAAAATGTCACTCTCAAATTTGTTCAATCATGTCACTATTAAATTGAAATTTCAAGCAGCCAAAAAAGAGTGAAGTCCAAAATGTCAGATTTATCTACCTTCTGGGTGGACTAATGACATATTCTTGATGTCCACCCACAAAATACTGGCATTATATTCCATCTAATTGGATTTCCAAGATATTATTATGTTGACAAATTCAAATAAAATAATTCTTGCGTGAAGCTTCAATTTCATACCAATTTTATGACTTTTTCAAGCTGAGTTGTTCGTTCATCTATAGAAGAGCTTTAGAGTTTCTAATTATTGTCTCTCTTTAGTTTGAAAATTGTTCAGTATATTGAATTAGACACGATGACTAAGTAAAAGTATACTCATTGCCTCTGCCATTAACTCAACCCACAAGGGAAATCAATAATGTCCTGTTTGATTGTCACATTTTTAATGAAAAATGTCATATCCAAAGAGAACAAATTCCACTTTGACTGTTTAATTGTAACATGGAAATGGAAATCGAATTTCAAGGTACAACCACTTTAAACTGCATTTTCTTTGTTTTCATGGAAAATGAATTTTTATGGGTTTAGTGGGTTGTTATTTTTCAACTAATATAAAATTAGAATTTCCTTTTACCTTTACCTATCAAACGGACCCTAAGATATGAGCTAATTATTAAATTTATTTCGGAAAAAATGACGAACGAAGGAAAAAAAAAATTACAAAATCAATTCTTGGCTTACTGCTTAGCAAAGCGAACACTAAATCATATAGATTATAGGAGTAACAAATAAAAATCTTGAGATCACGACACTAAGGATGTGTAATTCTAACATTTGAGTGTTTCTTACTCAGCTCATGTATGATACAGATCCTTTAAGTCTTATTTTTTTTTCTTCAAATGTATTTTTTTTCAAAAAAAAATAAAAAATAAAAATTTCGCGCGTAAATTCATAATTTTTCAATACTTTTTAGTCACACGTTCTTAAAAAATATCATTTTTCATAAAAATTTATTCTCGAACGATTCATAAATTTATTTAGTGCATTTTCGATTTTAGAATTTCACAAGGAGACCCTAGAAGCCAATAAACCATATACATCAACATCACAATTTACATCACTCGACAATTTTGGTCCATGCATCCATCTGCATGTAAGGCCGGGTCATTATGGCTCATATTTCAATGTCAAAAATAAATAGCCGAATAATATAAGTAGATGGGTCCAACTTATTTTTAGTCAATAGTTGCTGAATGGTCAAAAAACTAACAAGTGTTGATTCTTTTTACCATATAGACCTTACTTTATTATTGATTATGAAAAAAGAAAATACCATATTTTGGTACTATTTATTGTAAATCAAATATAATTTTTGCTAAAGTTTTAGTTGTAAGAGAGAAAAATGAAAGTAAGATAAAAATTAATTTCAGTAAAATCGAATAAAAGTCAATGTTTCGAGAACGGCTCAATACGATCATAATTCACAATTTTACGATAGCGAATATTCGAAAAAAGGTCCCTCGATGGAGCTTTCCTTAATCTAAACGGCAAATATTATTCCCAATTAATAATTTCAACGCACACTATTTGAATATAAGACAAATCCTAGCTAGTGATCAATCAAATAACTTGAAGAACAAAATACCTTTCTTTAGGCACATTCATGCACTTTGGCATGCAGTGTTTATCTTCGTGATGTTGCTCGAAAATGACATTAAATAATTAGTCATGCTTATCAATTTTAGACTACAAATTGTGATTTTTTTGCCTAATTGCAATTAAATAATCAAATCAAACAAAACTCAGTTCAAGTGTAGGTATAGCGTCTTACACGATGATGTAACCTCTCCCCAGATTATGAACGTAAAAATTGTAAATTTCTAGATGAAGACTAAGATTAATATATTATACAATACAAGGTTAGCATTATAAAGCCGGTTTTGAGCTTTTCCATGTGTCCCATCAGTATTGAAATTAAAATTGAAATACTAAAGTATGTATACATTGTCAATGATAAGATTTAAATAAAATACATAAAATCTTATCTAATAGTTTAAACTTTTATATCAAATAGTTCACAAGTATGGTATCAGAGAAAATAAAAGTTATGATATGAAGCCTCTGTTTGGTCCGAATTAAAATTTGAATTTAATCCAAGTCAAAGTCAAACAATCAATATTAACCACATCTTTCATGGGTCCTACAACTTTTCAACTACACATTTCAAAAACTTGAATCACAATCTACTAAAAAATCTAATTTTAATCCCCACCTAACACATTCGAAGTTTCGATGTCATTCATTTATTAACATTGTGCACATGTACAACTTTATTTGCTTGTTTGGTTCTCATTAAAATTTTTAGAATTTTTCTTTTTTAATTTTAACCACACAAAATTACATACAAATCTAAAAAATTTTATTATTTTTCAACCACACATTTTCCAATTCATCACTACTTCAAAATTTATAAACTCTCCAAAATGAGGGCCAAACAATGACTATATCAAGTCACTCAACATACTGTTCAGAATAAAATTGATTTCCTATTTCCGAGTGGACATGAGTTATTTTATCCATCCGTTGATGTTTCGTTGTCACGTCAGCAGATCAAACTTTTTTTTTAATGTTGTTCAAACTACCATTCATTAAAATTCGAGGTAGTACATAATCCAAGGGTAATTTCGTACTAGCCATAATTATTAGACCATTATATAAAGTTGACATTACAAAATTCCAAAGCCGAATTATTTAACATACATTCACCATTTGAAAAGCTTGAGAAAAGGAGGAGGTGAGTCTCAATAAATGAATGCCACAACTGCACCAACGTCTACCAGCACCGCAGCCACGGCGGAAAAAGACAGCACCACCACCAGTTTTTCCAGTTTGCACACAGATATCATAGAAGCTCACATCCTCCCTCGTTTAGACGGCGCCACTCTCGCCACCACAAGCTGCTCCTCCACTACCCTCCGCCACCTTTCTTCCCAAGATCACTTATGGACCCAAACATGCCACTCCACGTGGCCTTCCACCAGGTCTTCTCGTGTCTGCCAGGTCATCTCCACTTATCCCGATGGTGGGCCCCGCAGCTTTTTCGCCCACGCCTTCCCTCTCTTGGAAGAAGGCCGCTCTTCCTCAAAACACAGCTCTTCAGCACCACCGCCATCAGAATTGATATCAGCCGTTGATATACACTACCAAGACAAAATAATCTTCAGTAAAGTCCAAGAAACTGAAACCGTGACCGGGTGGTTCCGGTGCTCACCCTTCAGGATTGACCTGCTAGAGCCAAAAGACGTGATCCCCACACCCATTAAACAACCGGACGGAGACGACACGTGTACTGTAATTTTCAAAGATATGACGCTGAGCTGGATTCTGATAGATCCAATCCGACGGCTGGCAGTGAACCTCTCATCTCACAAGCCTGTTACTGTACAGCGCCACTGGTTGACCGGGGAAGTGCAGGTGCGGTTTGCTTCAATCCTAGCCGTTTCTCGTGGTCACGTGCAGTGTGGTATAGTGGTCACGTGCTGTGTGTCCGAGGAAGGGGAGATGATGCAGATGAGAGAAATAAGTTTAGATATTGAGGACATGGATGGAATGCACAAAAATGGGAAGGAGTGTTTGGGTATTTTACACAGAGCAATGGATGGTAAAAGGGGAAAAGGGAGAAACAGAGTAGAAGAAGGACACAGGAGGTACAAAGAGTATCTTGAAATGAAGAAAGAGAGGAGAGAAAGAAAAGTGAGGACAGAAGGGACATTAGATATATTGTGTGTGGCATTTGGGGTATCTTGTTTTGTGGCTTTTTTATGTTTTATTTTCTTCAGATAGCATATAAAAAAAGATGAAAAAACTAGAAATATTAAATAATTATACTTTTTTTTGCCTTTTTACAAGTTTTGAAGTAGGAAACTTGTGAAGGCAGATAAGAATTTGGTGAAGTGATACTTCATTAGTTGATGTGAAAAAATATTGGTTGAAGAATATATGATTTTTCTAATATCGTGCTCGAGATAGTAATTTGTAAAATAATAAGTAGTTTTTTTAAAAAAATAAAATAAGTAACTTATTCACTTTTCGATATTTACTAAACTATCTAATATCTTGTAATGCAAGCAATTTACTTTAGCATATCAAACTTTCATGCATATCAAGACTCTCTCAAAATACGTAAAGAAGTAAAAAGTTTACTATTGATTAAAGATGAATGAACAAACTCTAAACCGCGGTGCCTCTCTTTGGGTCACAAAGTTGGTGTTATGAAACTTCGATTTGTGGAAATATATTAATTTTTAAGGTTTACACTGTTGCATATTAATTTGTAATGTACTCACTATAAATAGTTTAAATGAAATAACAATATTTTATTACCCATAACACGTATTTTGAGCCCTTTTTTTTAGGTATAATGTATTTTGAAATAGAGTTATGAGACACGTACATAATTTTTTACCAATGTTTTACCGAATTGACAAGTGGCGGCTCCCTATTGGGGGGTCGCTTGTGGGCCCAGGCACCTCCAATAGGGAGCCACCACTTGTCAATTCGGTAAAACATTAGGTAAAAAATTATGTACAAATAGAATTTTCCTTTGGAATAATATATTGATGGCAAATATGTGATTAAAAATAAAGAACTTTTTTAAATTACGTGTAATATTATTTTATTGAAAAATGTGTAATTGATAAGAAGAAAGAGAAAATATATTTTGAAAAAATTGAAACCAAACAAGGTGTAAATATGCAGTGATTAATGTTTCAAGTTCTTCAACATACACCACGTGAATAAGTCCTCGTTCGAGTCCGAATAAATTTTGTAAAAAAGTGATTATTTAGAAAATGTATATTTAGAAAGTAGAAAAAAAAATTTGAATCCACTTGCAAAAAATAATTTATTGGAATAATGTGTGGTAAAAAAAGAATGTGCAGTGGAAAATGAATTTTTGTCAACTCAATTAAACTACAGTAACTACTAAAATAATGCCATAAAGGAGATTTTTGTCTTTTCTTCTGAAAATCTAACCAAGTAGGTTTGTATAATGTAATAGATGATTGGCAAGGAAGACCTAAAGAGTGTGGTGTGTCTTGCAACCTGAAAAGGTGTACATTTAAAAAAGCCACATGCAATCACTTTCTACTATTATGCTCATATAAATATAACAAATTATGCCCCAGAAGTGGGATTGAAATCATTTTTCATAAAAATTAATGAAACGTATATTTGAAAAGTTGTTGTCTACTCATTTTCTTAAATTTTTTCTTTATTCTAATTTTAAATTTAAATTAGATGCTTTTAGCTTCAAGTAGATGAATTTTCCCTCCACGGAAAGTGAATCTGGGCTATGTTTGATAGCTCTTTCTTTTTTGTGGAAGATAGAAATTAAAATCTATTTTCACTTTTTTTGCATGTTTGATTCGCTAAATTTTCCACGTAATTTGTTTTCCACATTTTCTCTGTTTCTTCTGAGTTGCATGAACTAATTCATATATATTTAAGGACACTACGCATGTTGGCTACTATGATGATTATAAATATATTTTTACATTTATTAATGATAAATCTCTTGCTTGTGTTATCCATGTTTAAAGTATTAATGATATGGTGACTAATTAATAAATAGACACATTCCTGAAATTACAAGGGACACTCATATTCCAAAAAAATGTGATGCAAACTGAATTTTTAATTAATTTTTTATTAGTATTTTCTTTATTAAATACATTCGGAATTCAATTCCGATTAGGACTTTTAATTTTTGTTATAATCTAGATATTAGTTGTTAATTAGGAGTTATTCATTTATTAAGATTAGTCGTAAATTAAGTTTTTCAGTTATTATAAATAAGGTTTGTAGCGTTAATGGCAAAAAAAAATCGAATTAAAATAAAATATTAATTGTTGAGATTTTCTCCAAATTTTAATCAAAATTACTATTCGTACATGAATCATTAATTTGTTGATCAAATTGAATATTCGATATTCTTGCAAAGAATCAATGAATATTTTAGTGTATTTATAACGACCAACATTTATGCCTAAACCATTAACTTACATATTTGTCGGCTCTGGGAGAGCTCAGTTCATTTATCTCTCACGGCTATCTGTCGTGTTCCCAAGATTCAAACTTATGACATTTTTTCTTAAAAGATAATAGGTTGAATCCTAGTACAAATTGGACAACTTATATAATTGGTACCAGAATTCAACTTAAGTTTCTCTTAAGGAGAGGTCATACATTCGAATTCTAGGGACGTGATATAAATTTGTGAGGGGTAATATGCTAAGCTCTTTAGAGCGAACACTACATAAGTTAACGACTTTAATACAAATGTTCAATCATTACAAGAAATGCACATTTTTGTAACAAATCAACTTATGTGCCCAACCCATTAACTTATGTACTATCCTTTTTGGGAGAGCTTAACCCATTTTATCCTTCATGGATTTTTATCGTCTATCCAAAATTCAAATACATGACCTCCCTTTCAGAGAAACTTAAGTTGAATTCGAGTACCAATTTTAAATTTTTCATAAATCTTGAAGTGTTACCAAAGACTTACTTCTATTTAGGTTAAATGCGAAACGATAAAAATAAATTTGCTTAAAATAAAATAATTGAAATATCCATAAATTTAAATGAAACATGGAAATTGTATCTTTAAAGAATATAATCACCTAACTAATTAAATAATATATTTTTGAATAAATTAAACTAACTAATAAATTTAAAGATATAAAACTTAATGTTTATTTATTTTTTTCATTCTACTGGAAGCCCGCATCACCATTCTACCACAAAGTCAATCGATCCAAGCTAACATGTAAAATTATTGTAAGAGTTAGTATTTAAAAATATCCAATAAGATACATGCAGTTTTCATAGACAATTATATAACAGTAAAAATGACACTTCATATTACATTTCTTATGGAGTATATTAATGACCAAGCGAGACACTCATCAGTAGTATTTTGAGTTCCCGAAAGAATTCACATTTCGTTAGTAACCGGTCCACGACAATTCATGCATAAATTATTGAATATAGAAGTATACGGAAACGAACCCATCTGGACAAAAGTATCTTACCCTAATAGATCAAACGAATTTTTTCGAAAGAAAATGTGATTGTACGTTCCAAATTTTTTTCTCTACTTCGGTGAATATGTATTGATTGACAATAATATTTAAGTACGAAAACTTTCTGATTTCCAACACTATTCTCTCTTTGCTATCTGTGTGTATATGCATTTTGTGCAAAAATGCTATTTGTACAGCCCGAGCTTCACAGCTTGGGTCACAACCCTCTCACAAAACGGTGTGGCCCGCCCCTGAATGTGAGAGGGCTGCGACCCGAACTGTCGCTCGGACTGTATTTAGTGAAAATTACACAATTCCCTACTTTTGGAGATCCAAATTCTAAAATCAGATTTCATGTTTTAATTTTCAAAAATCAGATATTTTATATATAGATACATATTTTTTATCTTGAATTTAATATTAATAATAATATTATAAAAATTAATTTATATACACCCACCCCACCTCCAAAATTAATTATCAAACCCTAACTCTCCCCCGTCTCTCTCATCCCCGTCTCTCTCAAACCCAAGCTCATTTGCAGTGTCATCTTCTCTCCATCGTGATGCAGTGGTTATGGCGACTCCCCTGCGTGTAGTTGCAGGAAAAATGAGCTTAAAAGCTGGTGCGAATCGTTGGTGGCGTTGTAGGTCTACTGGTGGCGTTGGGTTGTTTTCTAAAGGCGATGGGCAGGTTGGGTTTTATCGTTGGTAGCGGTGCGAATCTATGGTGGTGCGTGGGTATTAAAAGGTGCCTTAGTGAAACTGTTTCGGTGAATCTGTGGTGCAAATCGTGGTACCGTACGGAGGCCTCACTAGATCCGAGCTGTTCATCGGAAACTTGCAGGGTCATGAACCTGCGATTGGTGTGAATTTGTGGAGGGGGGTGGTAGAGGTTCAATTGGTGTTGATGGTGGTGGCACCGCGCGCTGCAACAGTTTGTGTTTGTTTCTGTGGTTTTTGGTGATTTGTGGTGGTGCGTCGGTACTTCTTGGTGGTCTTGACGGTGTTTTGTGGTGGGTGGTGGTGGAGGCGATTTTGAATTATTGTGACCAAGTATTCGGTGTTCGGTTGTGGTGGTGTTGTGATGGGTGGTGGTGGTTTATGTGTAAGTCCAGATCTGAATGACGGTGCATTTTTCTTTTCTTATTTTTTTTTGTTGTGGGTGGTGGTGGAGGCGCCGTTGGTATTGATGGTGGTGGCACCGCGTGATGTGGTGGCTTGCGGTTGCGAATCTTGCATTTTCGGTGCTGTGGGTGCGATTGCGGCGCTGTGGATGCCATGGTGGGCGGATGTGTGTGTTTGTGCGGCTGTGGCTGTGCCATGGTGGGCGGGGGTTGGGTATGGGTTTCTGGCGGTGGTGGAGGAGGTTGTCAGTGCCTGGAGATTTGATAGAATTGATTGTCGTGCTTTTTGTTAGCAGTTGACTAGATCTGGTGGTGGCTATTTGTTGGTGGTGGTGTTGTTGTTATGGTGGTGGCGGTTAGCGGGTGAGGATGATCACAATGGTGGTCACGAAAGTCGGTAGTGGTCACAATGGTGGTCACAGAAGTCCTTGGTGGTCACAATGGTGGTGCTGTTGGTCTTGGCAACAACGATGGTGATGATCACGGGAGTGGTCACAGAAGTCCGTGGTGGTCACGAGGGTGATCACATAATTCGGTGGTGGTGATCTTAAAATTGTGACTAAAAATTAATCAACGATAGGGGTGGTCACAGAAATTTGTGGTGGTCACGGGGTGGTCACAAAAAGAAT